GGCCTGTCCACCTAAGTCTCAGGGGCACTGAGCCGCATCTCGCAGCTCCTTAGGTCTGGCTGGTGGGCAGGAGTGAGTACCGAAGTCCTGGAACCCCAGGGAGAACGCATTTTAGCGACCTGGGTTCCTGGGACTACGGGCAAAACATTTGGCAGTAGAGACGGGGCGGCTCCAGGTGTGTCTTTGGCGATGCCTGGACGGTTGACATTTTAGGGATGCCCCCAGGTCTCTCGGGCTGAGTGTATTGTACCCTTGGTACCCTTCCCTGCAACCCTGGTCTGTTTTCTAACCCTCTCTGAAGTCTCTCCTCTCACCTGGGTCTCCTTTGAGTTTCCCCAGGGGGTCAGGTGGGAGGAGGACACTCTCCTTCGTTAGCGTGGGATGTTCCCTCCGGGGACGCAGCTCGGAGGGATTCCAGAGTCTTCCAGACATCCTGGCTCTGAACGCGGGGGAACCCGGGAGACTACAACTCCCATAGGTCTCATGGCTTGCAGCTCTCTTCTTCCCTGGACTCTTGTAGTTAGTGACAAATTGGCTGGCCAATGGCTTCTAAAGCTTCAGCCTGACTCATTATGAGAGACCAATCAAGGAGTAGTTGGACGGATGTTTCCTATTTTGAAGGTGTCCGCTCAGAGGTAAAAATGGTATTGAAAGGAAAAATGTTTCAACCCCGCTCTCGGTCTAAGAGAGGAGAGAACGCTTTCTTTTCTTTTAAAAATGATCAGGTTTTCCTGATCTAACCTCTGATTTTCTGTTTGTTCTCTCATTTATGGGCAATATTTTCTGGTTTCAGATTGTCGATGTTATTGTTGGGAAAGACGAAAAAGGCAGAAAGATCCCAGAATATCTGATCCATTTTAATGGTTGGAACAGAAGGTGAGAGTGTACTTGTTAAATTGAACTGAAAACCGATCGACTTTGCAGTCTAGAATATAGCAGACTTTTAAAAAAGTTTTAGAAACACTTGTAGAAAAGTTTGTTTGATTTCCTAATTTTGCTTAGTTATCAAAGCTTGCTTGGTCTGAGGAGATTAAGATTTAAGTTGATTATATTTGGATTTTCTATACGAGACTCTGGAAACCCCAGTTGTTTCTGTGTCGGAATAAGTTACTTTTCCAGTTTTTTGCATTCTCTTGTGATTTTCAAATATTTAAATAGGTTTCTAAAATGAAATTCTGGGGTAGTTTGTTGCTATGAGGTACTTTTGGCATTTCTTTCATATTAAACTAAAATTCTGAATTTTCCTTTTTTGTTCAATTAGCTGGGATAGATGGGCAGCTGAAGATCATGTGCTTCGTGATACTGATGAAAATCGTAGATTACAGCGTAAATTGGCAAGAAAAGCTGTAGCTCGCCTGTAAGAATACAAAATCAATACTTAAATGTTATAAAATGTGTTTTCTCTTAATGTTTTGGATTTATTAAGTAGTTTTACATATTTAAAGTGTGTAAGAGAAGAATATTTTTATGGTTATTCTAAGTAATTGCTTTGTTTTCCAAGTGGTCATTCCATAATTCTCTGAAATGGAGATCATTGTTTATTTTCTAAGGTTTAATTATTTTTCAAGTATTTAAGAATCATTGTTTATTATATCTTGTTTTGATCTCAAGATCCATATCAGTTCAGTGTCAGAATGTCAGAATTTATTTCTGTTACATTCATCTTTTTCAGGAGAGGCACAGGAAGAAAGAAAAAGCGCTGTAGGTTGCCTGGTGTAGACTCTGTCTTAAAAAGCCTCCCTGTTGAAGAAAAAGATAAAAATGATAAAAACTGTGAGTGACTTGACTTCATTTTCTTTGGCAAAAAGAACTTTCACCTAGTCTTTGTGTACTGGTGGACTGAGGCGAGGATTCATTGAAATTATAGACAGGGAAACTTTTTTTTTTTTTTTTATGACAGAGCCTCAAGCTGTCCCCCTGGGTAGAGTGCTGTGGCATCATAGCTCACAGCAATCTCCAACTCCTGGGCTCAAGTGAGTCTCCTGCCTCAGCCTCCCAAGTAGCTGGGACCACAGGCACCCGCCACAACGCCCGGCTATTTTTTGGTTGCAGCCTTCATTGTTGTTTGGCGGGCCCGGGCTGGATTCAAACCCGCTTTTTAGGTGTATGTGGCTGGCGCCTTAACCACTTGAACCACAGGCGCCGAGCCGACAGGGAAACATTTTAAGCTTGTATAATATGTATATTTGCCCCTTTTGTTTTTGACAATTAAAGTAGCAGTCAATATGATAAGTCCCTGAGTCAATAATGGGACCTTATCAGAGTCATGCTCATGACTGCTGTCTTCTTGGCCAATGTCTTTGCATGAATGCCCTCTCTACTCTGTTCTCACAGTCTCCACTCTTCTTGGCACCTCCCAGGCCTTGGTCTCACTTATGAATGTAACAGGGAACTGTAGGATCCTAGCTGATGAAACACTTTCAGATCATTAGCTATTATGATTGTCACATCCACTGAAATTATTGTCAACAACAATAACAAAAAACCCCATACATTTCTGTTAGAAAAGATGTAGTATTTATGTTCAGCATTTAAAACATATATAGGACTTTCCAGGTATAGTGTTATACCAGCATTTTGGGAGGCCGAGATGGGAGGATTACATGAGGCCAGGAGTTCAAGACAAGCCTGTGCAACATAGTGAGACCCTGTATCCATAAAAAAATAAAAAAACAATCAGGCAGGTGTAGTGGCATGCAACTGTAGTCTCAGCTACATGGCAGGGGCCTTGCTGCTGAAAAAAATATTCAGGGCTGCAGTTTATTATTCCCAGTAGAATGCATGCTGTGCCTGAAGGTTTGTAAATAGAAAGTTGGCAAAGTATATAATATGGGTTTGTCTGATATTTTTGTTTTATCTAGCAATAAGCAGTTCCTCTGATAGTAGTGAAGAAAAGGATGAAGAAATAAGTGAAGAAAGTGATATTGAAGAAAAGGCTGAAGTGGTATAAAGTTTTTATTGTAAAAATCCTTTGTGTTGTATATTTTAATGGTAAAATTTTCTAGTTGTGACTTATTTTCTAAAGATACATTTTTTAAACCAATAATATAATTTTTTCCTTGTTGTTTAAAGAAAAGCAACCCTTACTTATAGTCAGTGTATAAGTCTCTCAATGGCTATTTATGTCCATAAAGTGTTTCCACAAATTACAGTTATCTTTCTTTCCAAATAGTAAACTTTATTTTATAATGATAGTTTTTTTTAGGGGAGCATAACAGTTTGGCTTCTTCTGCCTGCCCCCAAAGTTAATGTAAATCCCATTGTGAACTTAAACGGGTGGGGGGGGAGGTGGGGGGGGTTACATAATATGCATTTCTGATGTGGTTAGTGCCCTAAATCAAGTTAATTTTTGTCTTTTAGTACATTTTCAGTTAGAACCCATGGCATAATGTGAATCTTGACCTTCAGCAGGATTTGTTTCACAGTTGCCTCTCATGTATTAGTTCTTTGGATATATTATCTCGTACTGTTTTAAATGGATACAAATGGAATCGTATCATTGCAGAAAGAAGAACCGGAGCTGCAAACAAAAAAGGAAATGGAAGAAAGAACAATAACTATAGAAATCCCTGAGGTTCTGAAGAAGCAGCTTGAAGATGATTGTTACTATATTAACAGGAGGAAACGGGTATGATGAGAGAACATATAAGACATGGATTTGTTGTTGTGCTTTGATTTGGCCATATTTTGCAATCACAATTAAGAAATGTGGTGGGATGAATTTTATATTTTTAGTTTTGTAATGAGTCATGTTTTAAAGTTATCTGATTAAATTAAAACTTATGTAGCCCTGGCTGCCTATTGGAATCCTCTAGGGAGCTTTCCAGAATCCTGATACTTGGGCTTTAATCAAAAGGCTAAGAGTTATTCATCTATGGGGGGCCCAATTGTGGGTATAATTGTAGGGGTGCTCTTGTTCCCACAGATCACTAAGATTGAGCATTAGTGCTTATGTTTATTCAAAAATGTACCACAGTCAACATGGGGATATGATCAGTAGAGGGAAAAAAGATCAAAGAATGTCAGGAAGTTCTGCTTGAACAGAATTGGTTTTGCTTTATTTGGGGGTTAAAAAAGTGGTACAGACATGACCATTGTTTCTTGGAATATGTGGTTATTACAATGGGATGCATGCTTCAGATGTCTATAATTTGTTAACAGTTAGTGAAGCTTCCATGCCAGACCAACATCATAACGATTTTGGAATCCTATGTGAAGCATTTTGCTATCAATGCAGCCTTTTCAGCCAGTGAGAGGCCTCGTCACCACCATGTTATGCCACATGCCAACATGAATGTGCATTATATTCCAGCAGAAAAGAAGTGAGTACCAGTGTGTCTCATATCTCATGGTTCTCTTTGTGTATTAGAGAAGTGGCTGCCATTTAGAACAGGTGGCTTTTGTCTCCAGTTATTTTAAATATATTTAATAATTTATAATTAATTTACTCATCAATCTAAAGTCAAAATCCTGTCACTTGAGTAATTAGTGAAGATAACACAGATCTGGCTGGATGCATTGAGAGTGCACAGCTTCAGCCCCGAGTTCGGTTTTTATCAGTGACAGGTTAAGGGTGAGAATTCGTTCCTTGAGAAGCATCAGAATGGGCAGTGAGGATTTTCTTGAAGTTTGTTTACAAACAGGTCTTTATTCCAATCAGACTTTTATTTTAAAACTCTGCCCTATTAAAAATGTGCACATTCATTGTCAAACTTTGCCCATTACCTAACTATGACTTTACTGCATCTCTAATCTCTTTTCTTTAATTGTAGTGTTGACCTTTGTAAGGAGATGGTGGACGGACTAAGAATAACCTTTGATTACACTCTGCCGTTGGTTTTACTCTATCCATATGAACAAACTCAGTATAAAAAGGTGACTTCAGCTAAATTTTTTCTTCCAATTAAGGAAAGTGCCACAAACACTACTAGGTAAGTTCAGTGGCTTAAACTTTCATCCTCAGATGTCAGCAATGCAACATTCGATTTTTTTTTAATTTCCATTTTTTAAAATTATTATTATTATTATTATTATTGTGTGTGTGGTTTTTGGCCGGGGCTGGGTTTGAACCCACCACCTCCAGCATATGGGGCAGGCACCCTACTCCTTTGAGCCACAGGTGCCGCCCCTCGATTTTTTTTTTTTAATAGTTCAGTCTGATGCTGTGGGGCCAGCATGTTTGGAGGAGGGAAAAGATTGAAAACTGCCTTGGGGGTAGTTTTTTTTCCCCCTGGGTGAGTTGAGTTGTCATTGACTTTTACATGGCTCTCTCTGAAAGATTTTACCAGGTGAAGATCCCAGCATAGAGAACTCAGGTGGGATGGTGAGCAGCTTCCCCCATCTTTCAGAAGGCAGCAGGGGGTAGGGTGAAGAGAGCACAGGCCCAGAAGTGGGAGGAGGAGGTAGGCTTATGCTGACCTCTGTCATCTGCTGCTCGTATGACTTGGGGAGGTCCTTCTGGGCTCACTTTTGCATCTATATAATAGAGTAAATGTCTGCTTCCCTGGTAGTTAGTATTGAATGAGAATGTTCACAAAGGGCCAGCGACCTTTGTCCCTTTAGTAAAGGTTAGTTCCCTTCTTGCTCTGCTGAGTCACCACATTTCCTCCCTCAGTAACCAGGCATGCTCTAGTCTTTTCTTTGGGGGGTATGGGATTTCCCCCAACCTAGAGTCTTTCCCTTTATTAGCTACTACTCTGTCTCCCTCCTTGCTCTATTCCTTAGTGAGTAGTCTGTCTTATAATTTCCACTCTTACATCTCCTCTCTTAACCACTTACCAGCTGCCTTTGTGTACCACTGGCCTGTTACATATTCTTCCTCCAAGGGTGCTAGTAACGTCCCATCTGCCATGCACTATGCTTTGCCCTAGCCACCTTCGTCTGCTCTCCCCTTCTCCCTTTGCTTCATAGCTTCTGGCTGCCCTGGTTTTCTCTTCCTCACCAGTATCCCCTCAGCCTGCCTGCCTTTGAGGGCTTCTCTGTTTTACCCCAGTTGAGAAATTTGTGAGACTCACTGGGGGCCTGTGTCAAAGTCTCTGTGGCCAAACCTCAAGATTCCTGGTATCCAGGGTGGACTGTGTTTCCACAAAGCTTCTGATGCTTGTGGGCTTTTCTAGTTCTGCCAGTAGTTACATATTGATGAGATCATATGATATTCTTCTTCTCTGGACAAGGAATTCTCAGTCTTGGCCCTGCTGATGTTTAGAACTATATCATTTGTTGTGAGGCTGTCTTGTTGCATTGGAAGATGTTTAGCTATATCCCTGGCCCCTACTGACCACATGGCAGTGGCACACCTTCCTTCAGTTGCAACATCCAAAAATGTCTCCACATGCTGCCAGCTGTCCCATTAGGGCAGAACTGATTGCAGTTGAGAGCCATTGCTCTAAGACAAATGTAAGAGGGACACCATAATCTCTAATGCCACTGTGCCTTGCAGAGCTATGGAGAGGATTAGAATGACTTACTGTTTTGTGATTCTTTTTTACAAAGTATGTGTTTTGGCATACTTGGAGGGGCAGATTTCCAGCCCTCTTGAAGTAAAGAGTCTTTTCTGCATTCAAGAGGCCCTGTGAGCTGCTCTCAGGCTCTGCAGAGGCTCCTTGTGCTGGCTGTGTATAACGCTGTCCCTCTCATCTAGGAGCCAGGAGGAGCTCTCTCCTAGCCCACCTTTGTTGAATCCGTCCACGCCACAGTCCACAGAGAGTCAGCAGACCACGGGTGAGCCGGCCACCCCCAAAAGGCGCAAAGCTGAGCCGGAAGCATTGCAGTCTCTGAGGCGGTCCACACGACACACTGCCAACTGTGACAGGCTGTCTGAGAGCAGCGCCTCACCTCAGCCAAAGCGCCGGCAGCAGGACACATCCTCCAGTATGCCTAAGCTGTTCCTGCACCTGGAAAAGAGTAGGTTCATTCCTAGATGCCCCACGATGGGGAGAGCCAACATTTACTCTGCGCCAAGTGTGTGCCAGGCTTGGTGCTAAGTTTGCGTGTGTGTGCAATGTGTGGGATTTCTATAACATGTCCAAAATCTTGTTACACCACCCACTTTCACTTTCCAGAGCCACAGAAAGATGAAGCAGCTGACACAGATTGCACAGTGAGGCCTGGTGGGGGCAGGACTGAGTTGTCTACTCAGACTTCCTTTCTCACCATCACTCTCTACCCCTTCCTGTGAGCAAATGGAATTATTAGAATTCTGTGTTTTATACAAATAGTCCTAAGGAATCATTCAAAATGAAAAACTCAAATGGGTTGTTTTGGATTTTTTTTTCTTTGTACTCTGTCTCAGTAGTCTATCTATTCAAAAGTTTAATTTCAAAGCTCTATTCTGAAACTTCAAAGTGAAAATGCCCGGATTGCCATCATCTCTCTGACCTCATCTCAGTCCCAACCCAAACTCTATCACATCTGCTCACCTCAATTTTCAGCTACAGTGTGTGAAGGGCAAGATAAATTATGGAGGACTTTACATTTTTTTAAAAAATGCACATTTATTCACTGTAGTGTGAAACTTAAAGAAAGCCACTGCTAATGACTCTTAAACTTTAAAGTATTGCCAAAACAATTGCCATTAATTATATACAAATACTTAAGAAGAGGGAGGGGGAAACTTTTCATATTGGAATGCTGCATTAATTTAGCTATGATCACATAAGGCTGCAGTCAAGAAACTCCAGTTATATCTTAAAAATGGCCATTATTTTGAAAAATCTAACTACTATTACTTAATTTCAAAACTGAAAACTATTTGTTAATTTTAAAGTCAACCTTTTAATGTCTGCTTTGTGTTGGAAAGCATTTGAATATTTGGTTGCAGCTTGGAGGTCCGCAGTTTCAGTTGATCCTCTAGATAGGTGTCAGTCATTAGTGAACTTAAGGGCGTCTTGATGTGGGTTAGGTAGGGGAATGTAGAGCATGGCAATAAGTGGTTGAAGAGCAAGAAAGCATTTTTGGCGACATGTTACCAAAGATGTGAGTATTTTACTCCATTTTTTCATACTTCAATGGGATCTTTCTTAGCATCAAACAATGTCTTTAAAATGTCATCTACTGAGAGCTTAATTGCATTGTAGTTCTTTAGATGCCTTGGTGATATCAACCAGGTGAAGCTGAAATGCTAATCTGAGCGTGAAGTCATGATTCTCAAACTCAGTAAACCATTCATTGTATTCTTCAATTAATAGCTCTGTAATAAGTGCATATGATTCAAATGATTCACATATATCATCCTCATCAATGATGTTTGCTAAGTGGGGAAAGTTCATCTGTCATTTCCTTTTGAAGAAGTGTTCTGAAAAAAGATAGCTTTTTTTGGAAGTGCTTGGATTTTTTGCCATATATCATGTGTAGACTTAGTTTTACTTGCAAAGAAATATTCAAATCATTTTGATCTGACATGATACCACATAGAAATGCTGCATTCAGTAGTTAACTATCTGTTCTTGCAGAAATAAAATTTTGGATAATACCTGTCTTTGCAATAGCCAATGTACTTTAGCAGAATTATAAATCAAATCACCCTGAATACCTTGTTATTCAACTTTAGCATGTTACAAAACTGAGGATGCCATGTGTTTTGTATTTGCACAAATACAGTTTACAATACTCACAACTTGTTAAAATAGTAGCTATTTTATTGCTACAGCACAGAGGTTTTGCTTAGGTAAGATATAATATAAAGAAATAGGAGCATCTGGATCTCTGAATACTTTTTCACCTGTGCAATAAACCCCTCATGTTTTCTTGTCATAGAAGGTACATCATCTGTACATACAGTCATTAAATTTACCAAATTCAGTCCAACTTCACTGCATTTATCTTGAAAGTTATTCAATATGTCTATTCCCTGTGCTCTGTTTGCAAGAGTGCCCAAGGCAAGTAACTCTTCATAGCACAGAAGATCTGTTATCTCCTGGATGAAGTCTAAAGCCTATGCCAAGTCACTAGCATTAGTGGATTCATCCAAAGCAATTGAGTAATACATATTTTCTTTTTGAAGCACTGCATGAAGTTGTTCTGTTAAGTTGAAGGCTAATTCATGCTGCGTATCAGTTCTATTTCTCTTTGAAAGTGGCAGTTGTTTAAACTTTGAAACATTATCAGTGTTCAGGAGTGTCTAACTTGCAGCCTACAGGCCACATGTGGATGACATGAGGACTTTTCTGCTTACTTGTGGTGGTGGATATCACAAAAATATTGCATGGAATTTTTTTTTCTGCTCATCAGCTTTCATTAGTGTTTATGTATTTAATGTGTGGCCTAAGACAGTTCTTCCAGTGTGGCACAGAGTAGCCAAAAGGACACCCTTGGATCCTACAACTTTGATAATGCATTCTTTCAAAATTTCTGCATCACTTGAGTGCTTTACCTTTTTCCCCTGAGGATATAGGCTACTTTATATGTTACTTCAGTGACATTATTTCCAGATCTTATTCCTACTTGAAAGATTGTCTTTGCTTTTCATCTTTGTTTCTTTAATACAACCTTTCGTGCATCTCTCTATAATTTAAAATATTTGTGGTCTCTGTGAGTGTTACAATGCTGATGAGCATTGAATTTCCTTAATGTTGATATTGCAGTATCACAAAGCAAGCAAATCATTTTATTTTTTGCAGAAACAATATTGCAATTCCTAATCTTCATTAAAATCTTCCTTCTTTCTTTAGCATTCTCTTGGTTTTCTTTGACACGATGGGCTGTTAAGCAGATAGAATTAAAAAATATTGTCAAGCTGCACAAGTATTCACAAATGCCACTTCCAACAGAAATACAGTGCACCACTGTCAAAAGCTGACAATAGTTTGGACTACTTGACACCTGTAAACTCTGACTAGCCAGCCTTGTGTACTAGTGGGGCCTGTCAGATAGGAGAAGTTAGAACTAAATCATAAGCTTGGCACCCCTCAGTTTAGCCCTTATGGCTAACTAATATTCTAATTGTTCCAGTCAGTTTGGGAGGATTGTTTCTTTGAAACTTATTTTCTTCTTTGATATTAAATATGTTCATTTAAAAAAATAAAAATATAAAAGATGAAAACAGGTATTAATGAAAGTAAGAGGATTTTTTTTCTGTGAAATTCAATCAAAAGGCTGTATGTAAGGACCTAGAAGGCCACATGTGGCCTTAAGCTTGCAAGTTCCCTACCCATGCTGCAGAATCTAACATTAGCTATCATAACATACATTAATGGGGTATTTTCCCAAATTAATGAAAATGTGGCTGTTTAACCTTTGTTAGTGAATCCCTGTCACTAGTATTATTCACTTTACGTTTAAGACCACATTTCCTAATAAAATATGTGGTGCTCAGTGTTTACATAATTTTACCCTTTACTTAGAAAATGGGTAGGTAAAACGAAAGGTGGATGCCAGCAGATGTCCGGCTCAGTGAGGAAGTTGGCAGTAGAGGTGGATTGCCGGCTTGTCAGATTTCCTGGAGGCACAGACCTCCTAAGCTAGGGTCAGCACAAAACTTGTAGCCCAAACCTTAGGCCCCCATAGGTGTATTTCATGTGTACCCTTCTGCTCACCCCTCTTCTCCCAGCTTCTCCTGCTGAGATGACTCCTTCAGGGCTTGCCCACAGCATTACCCTATTCGAATCCCAAAGCTGTCATCATAGGGCCGCTCAGTGTTCAGGTGCCCGATTCGTTGTATTCCCCAACCCTGCCATTCCCGCCACATTACAAGCTCCTGAGAGAAAGGGCTGACTTGTTGCTTGTATCTGCTCCTTCACAGCTCAGAGTTGGGGGCATAGTTCTAGGACATAGATGGCCAAGTGAAGCCCTTGCCTGAATCCAACTTCACAGAACAAATTCTTTATTAAAAAGGTTCTGTAAAATTTAGATTCAGTCAAAAGGCTACTCTCAAGAATCCAGAAGGCCACATGTGGCCCCAGGCTTCAGGTTTCCCACCCCTGTTCTAGGTGACTAAGTACTTGATGACTGAGTGTACATTGGGAGAAGTTCAGAAAGCAGAGTAAAAGAAGACATACCCTTAAAAAATCCTTTTGGATAATCGAGTGCTAAAACAAAAGATTTTTTAACAGCTTTATGGAGATATAATCCATGTACTTTATATTATATTTCACCCATTTAAAGCAGTTTTTACTCACAGAGTTGGACAGCCATCACCAAAACCAGTTCCAGACATTTTCACCCATCTCCCAAATCCCTGTATCCATTAGTAGTCACTCATTCACCCCTGCCTGCATCCACTGACAACCACCAATCTATTTGTCTGTATAGATTTGCCTATTTGGAAAACTTCATATAAGTGGGATCACATAATATATATATAGGCGGTTAATAGGGATGGAATGAACATTGGGAAGGTTCAGCTGGGAAGAGTAAAGAGACAGTGTTTTTGTTCAAGATGCTAAAATGTGATTTTCCCTTTTTGCGTTTTACTAAGGTGATAGTGACATTTAAAGTTAATCATTTTAAGTGAATAATTCAGTAGCACTATCTTTTTTCACCAGCTTTATTTAATATAATCTCCTTACCATAAAATTTACCCATTTAAAGTATACAAATTCAGTGGGTTTTAGTATAGTCACAGAATTGTACAACCATCTCCACAAGCAATTCTAGAACATTTTCAACATCCTCCCAAAACATACCCATTTCAATCACTCCCTATTTCCCCCTTCTGTAAGTTCTGGGTGACCACTAAACTATTTTCTGTCTCTATGGGTTTGCCTACTACCCTGGACATTTCTTATTAATGGAATCATACCTATGTGGGGCCCTTTTTGATTGGCTCCTTTTAGTATAATGTTTTCAGGGTCCATCTACATTATATTAGTACTTTATTGCCTTTTTTAACCAAATAATATTTCAGTGCTATCTTTCACAAAAGGAAAGTTTTATTGGCAACGATTAATAGTTTCTGAGAGCCAATTTTAAATTTATGTTCTTTTTTAACAGTCTTGATGACAGTCTTTATTCACTGTGTAACTAATAGGGTAATAATTCCATCTCTCTTTTTTTTTTTTTTTTAAGAGACACCAGTGCATAGCAGATCATCTTCACCTATTCCTCCTCTGACTCCCAGTAAGGAAGGGAGTACTGTGTTCACTGGCATTGAAGGGAGAAGAACTAATGAAATAAACGAGGTAAAGAGTGTTTGACGTTTGTCCCCAGCTATTCCCTCACCACTTATGGTTGCTTAAATCCTCTGGGAGCAGTCAAGTTTCTTGACGCATCATATTGCTGTTACTGGAAAAATTCACAAAATTTTACATAGGATTGTGCTTAACAGTATTTGGTTCCTAAAATGAGAAATTTCTGAAAATTTTATTTTTGTTAGGATTCCAACCCTATACTTATGATCATTTTTTATCTTAAATAAGTGTGATTGTTGAAATACCAGTATTTTCACTTTGTATAACAGGTGTCATCACACCTTCTGCAAAGGGCCAGATGGTAAATATTTTAGGCTTTCTGGGCCATATGGCATCTGTCAAGACTACTTAACTCCAAAAGTAGCCACAAACAATATGTAAATAAAATGAGTAAGTTGTGTTCCAATAAAATGTGATTTATGGGCATTGAAATTTGAAACACATTTAATTCTTATGTGCTGCAAAATATTTTGTTTTCTAATCATCTAAAAATATAAAATATATTAGTAGCTCATGAATCATATAGAAATAGTGGTTGGGCCAGATGTGACCAGTGGGCTGTTGTTTGCTGACCCCAACTTTTGATACCTGATTCTCCTCCATTATTAACAGTAATACTAATAGTTGTCCCTTCCAGGGTCTGCTGTAGGCCACGGTTGTGCCAGACACCTGAATCAAATTACCTTGACTTCTTGAGATCAGCCTTGCCCCCTGGTTTTCATTTGGTAAATGGAAATTACTTTAAGGCCTGGTAGGTGATGTACAGGCAGGGAACATTTCATGGGTTCAGAAGTCTCAGTCCATTGGCACATTTTGTGAATTCCCTCTAGATGGGTGGGAGTTGCACACAGGAAGATGGCTTTATGTTTGGGCTAAATGATTCTCTTGCCTCAGCCTGCCAAGTAGCTGCTAGGACTACAGGCGCCTGCCACAGTGCCCAGCTATTTTTTTTTGTTGTTGTAGTTGTCATTGTTGTTTAGTTGACCTGGGCCGGGTTTGAACCCACCAGCCTCGGTGCATGTGGCTGGCACTGTAACCACTGTGCTACAGGAGCCGAGCCAAGGCAAAGAATATTTGATATTGGAAAAGGGATTGGCAAAGCTTTTTTTTGTCATGTTATAAATATTTTCAGGGATCCATACCATATGGTCTCTCTTGATATTGTACCAGAGGGAAAGCAATATAGCCAGTCCATAAGCAAATTGGCTATGACTGTGTACCTGTGCCCCCCCAAATCATTCATGAACACTGAGAATTTAATTTTATATGACTTTCACATATCATGAAATATTTATATTGATTTATATTTATTTGATATTTTCCCCCATCCATTTTGAGCACATGAGCATTGGGCTTATTTTGGCCTGGAGGCTACAGTTGGCTGACCTTGACTTCAAGGGAAAAAACATAGAAAGCCTAATTTGTGCTATGAGGATCATCAAGGGTAGGTTAGGGTATTCCTAGTTCAAACACTCCCTAATACAGAGACTTTTCAGACAGGAAGGCACTGCAGGTTTTATTATTTAAGGGGAATCGTGTTTCTTTAAAAGGGGACCTCACTATTCAGGCAAGGAACATTCCCACTCTGGTCGGTGGAGTCTGACATCTAGTGGTTACAGGTATAGTCACAAGTCATAGTAAAAAAGTAGAAAAAGTATGCTTTCAGGTAAACGGTTGGAGTTCAGCAGGCTCTTAGAAGGACTCATGAGACCTTAGTGAATTCCCATCTCTCTACTTGCCTCTCTATCACATTATTGTTTAACCAATTGCAGCCCCACTGCATCAGGGGAAGGTCTGGCCTCACATATTGCTAGTAAAGATCCACAGATGGTTCCTGTGCATGCTACACTGAGAATCCATCCACCAGAAACCTACTGTTTTCACCCATAAAATGTATATTTGATAAGTAGAAGGTTATATACTAGAATTAAAGGCATACTTGAGTGAGTGAGATAGAGCCACTTGCTAACTTGCCAGATTTGTACTGTGGTTCATGCCTCTTCTGATTGCAAACTCCTATATGTTCCCTTTGACTGCCACTGTCAAAATGGTTCCCAAGCTTCAGCTGTGTGCATTGTGTAAAGATGCTGAAACAATCCCTGCCTTCAGTGCTCTATAGTGCAGAAGGGTGAGGGAGGGGTTGGGGGTCTATGGGAGAGTCTAGAACTGGCTAGGTTAGGGCTGAAGTAAAACAAGGGTCTTCATCCTAGAGTCCTATGGAGCCACCTTGGTGTCTGATAGCTTCTATAGTTTCAGTTTATCTAATTGACTCTGTCAGCATTTCTGGGTTTTGTGGGGGGTACCTTTCTTTGTCTCCTAAGGGATCTCCTTCAGCATATTTCAATATTAAATTTGGTGTCCCCAAAGGCAAAGTGGCAGTTCAGTTGAGAAGGTTGTGGGCCTATAATCTGCTGAAGTACTTCTACAGACACTCATTAGGGAATTTTGAAATACAGCCTTCCCTTTATCAAAAGCCCCAAGTCCACCCACAGTTCTGAAATTCAGAGTGAGGGCAGAGAAATCAGTTACCAAGTTTGAAGTTTCCTTTCAGTTGATTCATGGGTTAAAAGATTCAAATTAGCTTCCATAATGAATCTCCCATCAGGAAATCTGGGAATCTTATGAAAATGGTAATATTACTCAAAACATCTTTGAGTTACTTTTCAATGCTTCATTCTCACTAATGCATCAGGATTTTCAATAAAGGAAAAGGGGCTAAAAAACCAGAATAGTTACTGTTATTTATAGGGAATAGCTGTTGAGAATTAAGAAATTAAATATTTTTTTCCATCTAATTTCAGCCATTTTGTCTTTCATCTTTATTTTTATTAACTTGTGTTTATGTTGATATAGGTCAACATATTTATTTTTCCTCTACATACAATTATGATATTTATTTTTCCTCTACATACAATTTACTGTCAATATTTGTAAGTGATTGGAAGTGCCTCCATTAAGAGTAACAAAAGTGTTCAATTTGTGCTTTTGCCAGGTCCTCTCCTGGAAGCTTGTGCCAGACAATTACCCACCAGGTGACCAGCCGCCTCCGCCTTCTTATATTTATGGGGCACAGCACTTGCTGAGGTTGTTTGGTAAGGAGCCTGCTTCCTGCTTTCCTCTTTCCATTTTTCATTTTGCTTTGCTTTTAGAGCTCTTGTTAGCTTATGTACATTTTGTGAGTTGGGCCCTAAGCATCTAAACACAGAAATTTTGAGGTTTAAGAAAAATCATCCAGAAGTGACCTATTCAAAGAAAAGGGACTGAACAGATGTTAAATTTCATAAAACTTACTTTTATACTGCCACTCTTTCTTTGTTCCATTCAGTAGGAATTCTTGTTTTCATTCGATAACATTGATGTTAATTTCATTTCCAATAGGATGAGGAGAGAGCTAGATAATCCTTGAGTGCATCCTATGTGTTGTCAGAGTCTGCTAATTATAAATGGTTTTGCCTTTATTTTTAATGCAGTAAAACTTCCAGAAATCCTTGGAAAGATGTCCTTTTCCGAGAAGAATTTGAAAGCTTTGTTGAAGCACTTTGATCTCTTTCTGAGGTATTTTTATTGCTTTCTCAAAACTTACCTCTGTTGCTATTTATACACACACACACACACACACACACACACTCTCACACTTCTCTTTAGCATATGTACCGTCAGCTCTGTGGTATTTTGAATAATAGTAAATATTACCTAAGTGTGCTTGGGTTCTAACTATACTGGTAAAATAGGGTGAATTTTTTTTTTTTATATTTCTTTTCTCTATAATTTCTCTAGTTTCTGAGTCAGGGGAAATTCATTATACAGAGGTAATAATGTTTTTTGTGTCACTAGAAGAATCCAATTGAATAAGCTTATAAACAGGAAACAAATTTTCTAAAGTAGAAGTGATTGAGACTGATAACAATTTAGTTTTACATGTTTTATTCAGGAGTACCTCAACCGTTAGACTTTTCTTTTTGGTGTGTTCATTAACTTAAGTAAGAGCATTTACATGTTGGATTTTGGCATTTACTTTAGAGTTAAGAACTGACAAAGTCAGTCATTTTCCTATCAAATAGGGTCATTTGGCCCTAGAGTCTACTCTGCTCTCCCACCCAGATGGTGTCTGTTGACCTGTGCTCCCATGCTTCTCTTTGGCCTTCAAGACTGGTAGTTATCACCCTGCCTTGCCCAGCTTGTCCTACTACCTGACCTTGTTTCTTCCTTCTCTTTAAGGGTGACCTTTTCCTTATTGTCAGGCCCTACCCTGACTAATCACACCGTTCAGAGCACCCCAGCCAAATAAATGAGTCTTTTGGTTTTTTTAAACCAAACTCTAACTTTCATGAAAGTAGGCATTTTGCATAAATGTCCATGAGTGAAATTAGACATTTTATTGGAAACAAGTTTCAAAAATACCCTCTTCCCTCTCAGCCTGCTTCTTGAAGAAACCTACAACTCCTTGGATTTGTATAAAATTTTGTAAACTGAAATCAAATAGTGCCAAGAAAATATAAAGAGGTAACTGTGCAGCTTAGCCTAGGAAACTGGCTGATTTTGAACTATGCCTTATACAAAGTGTAAATTAGAGTTTTAAGAGGTGCTTAGAAGGATTTATAGATAAATATAGTAAGAGATTTAAAAAATATATCCAAAGACATCGCTAAGAACCAATGGACTCAATGACCAGAAAAAGATTATAATCACAGAAGGAAAAAAGTTAACTGTCCAGTGAATTTTGCCTCATTTTTACTAAAGAAGATATACATGTTTAGGAATTTGGACAGGTGGGAGGTAGCTGGGAAAACAAGTATGAAAGTAATTAGCTTATGGGTTAATACTGCACATTTGAGAATGTTTTAGTCCTCTACGGCAAAATCAGTTGAAGTTTGAATAAAGATATCATCTGCATGTTGCAGACTCTTGAATTCCTGGCCTCATTTTAACATCCATCTTCACATGTAAGTCTTTTTACATTTTGGTACAGTAAGCTAGAACTGTTATGTCTTTTGGCATGGCAAATTAAACATAAAATGCTATTATTGGTTATTCTGTTCAATTTTGGTATAACATTGCTCATATAAGCAACATAAATTTCTCATAACATTTATTGAATTTATAAATTTTTTTTATAGTTTGAACAACAGGAAAATGTGGAAATATTCAGAGGCTTCCCCCCCCCCAACTGAAGTGCTTATATAACCAGACTGCCACCTAGTGGAGTATAGCTCCTATTTCTTTTTGCATAACTTTTTTTTTCCCTATTTGATAGGAAAATGACTTCAGATAAATAGTAAATAATGTAGAAGCTGGATAAATGCAATGAATTTAATCAACATAGATAGAGAAATATTGATTACAGTCTTTTTTTTCTTCCTAATACCAAAAAAGAGTTGAAATGTTAGTAGGTTGAAAGATGATATTTTACTTAATGGTATTTAGCCCTTGGTATAATGCTTATCGGGGGCCTTTTTTTTTTTTTCCAGGTTTCTAGCAGAATACCATGATGACTTCTTCCCAGAGTCAGCTTATGTTGCTGCCTGTGAAGCACATTACAGCACCAAGAACCCTCGGGCAATTTATTAAAGTTGTGATTGTTCTGTAAGACCCGCTGCTTCATCTAATTTTGTGCTCCGGGTTATAGGTGAAGACTTTACACAATGGTGGATCTTCTTTGCAGAGAGTGCAAACATAACGCCTGTCCTGTGGGCTCTGGCATAGGTGGGCCCTGTTGTTTTAGTTGCCCACACACTGTAGTTATTTTGTTAATAATTACTTCCTAGGTGCCTAAAAGTGCTCTGACACACTTACTACTGCACAGGCCATCTGTGATGGCAGAAATAAAAGCAACTGTGTTCACAATGCAATGTTCCTAAATGTGACATAGGCTAGGCCGTTTTGGTAGATGTTTGAGTTAGTTAGCAAAAACTATATTGTTTTGTTATTTCTTAGCATTAAATAATTTTTTAAACAAACTTTCCATTCTTATGATGAGGCTAAGCAACTTGTACAATAAATTTTAGTTTGTACTTGGAAAATACAAAGTCTCAAAAGTATTTAGAGGGAATTGGTATTGATGGCAAGAGAAAATTTGCAGCTATACATTTGCTTGTAATGGTTCCCTCCCTGTGAAACATTATTTTTAGCCATCTAAATAAAGCATTGCCTCTCTTGTTTGAGATTTTATAGCTATACTTTGTTGTGTAATGTTATGTTATTGTTCCCTTTCTGTAAGATGTTATTTTGGGTGATCTAAATAAAGCATTGCCTGTCTTGTTTGAAAGAACCAGGAGAGAGTGTTTTCACTCTGGCCTTGTCCTTTTCTATTGCAAGATAACATTGGAGTAACCTTGACTCATAAGTTTTTGTTTTGTTTTGTTTTCCCTTTGTGTCTTTTCTGTTAAATTCCTCTTTTGTTTTGTCTCACTTGGTGGCCTGACTAGACAGTGGTTACTAGAAACTCCTGTGGTTCTATACTATCTTGTTGCTGTACCATGGGCTCATCTAGGGATGACCCCAATTTATCCTCCTTATTACCAAATGATGGTCTCTGCAGTCGCCCCCTAATCCTCATTTTAGTCTTGCATGCCTTAACCCACTCCCAGATGTTTTAAAAAGCTGTAAATTGATAGAAAGGATACGAGTACCATTCTAGCTGTCTGGGGGCCCAGATGACAGAGGAGAATTGAGCTTCACACTTCTGGCTCCTTGACATTTAAAGCTTGGGATGATGTGGCCCAAAGCTTGGGATGATGTGTCCCAAGGTCTGGTACTCTGACAACAGCCCCACCATCACTCTGAGGAAAGCAGGTCTCCTTCAATGAGCTTCCAAATCAGGCCTCCACTGTTTTCCTCCTTACTTCCTTTTTCTTCCTTCTCCTTTGCCTCCAAGTTCTTGAGGCAATTAACAGGGGAAGAACTTGGAGGACTGCATGGCTACTATGGCTAGCCAACTGGTTTGGGATGACTCATAGAATAAATCCAGGAAGACCTTTTGGAAGCGGTTTGGTTCCTGCTAGGGCGGGTGTGTAAGGGGATAAGCATATTTTCCACTTAGGCCTAAATTACAACACTTTCACATTTTGAGTCCATATTAATTTTCTACTGCTGTCATAACAGATTGCCACAAATTTAGTGACTTAAGACTATAATTTTATTAGTTTATAGATCTGAACATCGGTGAAGTCCAATGCAGGTATCTCTGGGCTAAGGTCAAGATCTCAGAGGGCTCCATTTTCTCTGGAGGCTCTAAGGGAGAATCTATTCCCTTCCTATTTCATGCTTCTAGAGGCATTCTGAATTCCTTGGTTAGTAGCCCCTTTCCCCATCTTCAAAAGTTTTGGGCCAAGTCTCATGCTGCTGTCTCTCCGGCTTTCTGACCACAGCCAGGAAAATGTCTTTGCTTATGAAGACTCATGTGATTACATCGGGCCTCCCCCTGCAGATAGCTTCCCCATCTCTAGGTCCTTAATCACATCTGCAAAGTTCTTTTTGCCACATGAGGTAACACATTCACAGGTCCTGGGATTAGGATGTGGACATCTTTGGTGGCCATTATTCTGCCTACCACAGAGCTATCCTGGTGAGGCCAGGAGACATTTGTATACTACCATGTTCCAATAATCAGTGGTGTTGACTTAAGAACAAGTAGAATTACCTTGGAGCTAGCAAGGATAGACTTTAGGGCTCCTTATTTGCTCAAGTGCCCCTCTTCCAAGTCAATTGTGTAGGCAAAATTTGTCTTCTGTTTCTTAATGACAACCTCCTCAAGTATAGAAACTTCAAAGCCCCACAAACCCAAATGGGGTCCTGCTCTGGAATGTGTGTGGGATGACACAAATGGAGGGCTCCCAGGAGGAGTTTGAAAAGCGGTGTGGGGTGTCTTCTGGCCCACAACAGGCCTGTGCCTACTTTTGTTAAGTGAGGCCCCCAAAGAAGGAGTTTAGAGAATCATCTGGGAGGAGGTTGAGCTGTGGCTCAAGGAGGTGGTGGTGATATCTGAGGAGGAAAGTAAAAGAAAAGCAATCAAGGATCTGTTTCAGAAAAAGAGGATTGAAAGACGAGTGGGGCACCTTCGCTGGGTGACATGATCAGTAAAGCCTCCCCTTCATCTCTGCCCGTATGTCAGCCATTCATTAATGCTTAAGGAGCTGGATTTGTGCTTTTGAGCTTTTGTGGAGATGGATTTCCAGGCTGGAAAGGCCTCCAGGCAGGCAGAGAAAGAGCAAGACCACCCCTAGAATTGGTAATGTCATATGTTTTTTCACTCACTGGAAGAGATCTTAAAGAAGTGCAAAACAAAGGGCCACATATCCTATAATTCCAGTTATATGAAATGCCTAGAACAGGCAAATCCATAGATTAGTGGTTGCCAGAGGACGGGGAGAGGAAAGAATTGGCACTAACTGCTAATAGGTATGAGATTTCTTTTTGGAGTGATAGAAATTTCTGGAATTAGATGGTAGTGATCATTGCACCACTCTAAAAACCACTGAATTGTATGTTGCAACGGGTGAATTTTATGGTGTTGAATCATATCTCAATTTTTTAAAAAGGAGGACTAGGAATAACCTATGCCTAAAATTCAAGGGAAATGCACCAGAAAGATCCATTTTCCAGAGCTGAAAGGCTACTCGATCTAATACTTCTTTCCTGCATCATTGCTTAGGAAAGGCCAATGTTCCTCTTGTCGCTCCTCTGAGTTCATACTTCTGAAGGTCAGAAAACCCAATGATGTACCTTTACACAATTTCCTTTTGTAAGAAAACAGGGGTTGACAAATGTTCAAACTTCTTTGGCTTCCAATTCTGCATTTTTTGCTTATATCATAGTATCACTATATACTTACAGTGATACTATGATATAAGCAAAATAGGTTAATTAACAAGAGAGTGGCAAAAATAAACTGAATTGCTAAGAATAATGCAAACCGGAGCCAGCTCATCTTTATGAGTCTTCATGTTTTGGAATTTCTTTGCTACATCAATCTTCATCCTTCCAGAAGGTCATGAAAATCATAGGTAGTAAAGTGTTTGACTGTGTTTTTCTATTGATTTGTACTTTTTCCATTTAGATTTACAACTTTGAGTGGAATGATTTAATAAGCCATTTTGGAGATACGGTTTGGCACAAGGTAAATTACACCAGCCTGCAGGCTCTATTTTACTGCTCAATCTTTCCTATTGTAAAGGTGACTTTGGAGACAATTTCAGATCACTAGCCTCTATTAGTTGTCTATTAGTATCTAGAAAATAATATTGGGTGAGATGATTTGTGAGCTGCATAGAAACATACCTATTAGTGTCAGAGGATAAAGGCTGTTTGAATGTGCTTGGGCAGTACATAAAACTAAGTCTGAAAACAAAAAACACCCTACTGGAGGGAAAACCTAGTAAAATTTTCTTTTGATATATGATATTTCATCTTTTATATTCTGAAGCATGTAAAATATAACCAATCAGAGCATTGAAAGTCTGCTAATTTGGTGATCTACAAGAAGCCATAGTTTGGTAGATAGATTGAAAAAAAATCTAAGTCTTTACATACCTAACAGTATCCCCTCTTTCCCTATGCTTTGAAGCGTGAGCTTGTATTTCCTCTAATAAAGAAGTAGGGTCTATTTTTCTTTACCTTGAATTTAATCTGGCCTTGTGACTTGCTTTGTCCAAGAAAATAAGGCAGAAGCGACTTTCTTCCATTCTTTCCCTGGCAACTTTGCCGAGATGTGAGCAAATTGGCCTTTTGTGATATGTATGCTTTACACTCTGTCTATGGAACAGCTCAAATTTCATTGCTTTGCCTGAAATTGCTGAAACTCTGCCATTTTCAGAAGCCATCAGATACTCAAGGGAACATGTACCTGCCCTTGCTACTGTTCAGGTAACAAGGAAGAAAATGTATAGAGACAGCAACATGTCTTTGGGAACTTATAACCAGTGTGAGGTATTGGGGGTGGGTGGGAAGAAATTTAAATTGCGGAAAACTAGAAATGAGAAGATAAAGTACATTTTCACCAGAAAGTTAACAGATGTTACGATTTTGTAATATTTGTTTGCAACCACTGTTTTTTAAAAAAGTTCCCTTTAGCCATTATTTAGTCTCAATCTCCTGCTCATCTTTCAGAGGCAATAACAGCCCAAGTGTGGTGCGGGGCAGTGTGGACTCATATTGTATCACGGGGCATCTTGTTCCTTTGTTCATCATATTTTTCACAAGTGTGACATACATCTACATGTGTCTATCTGTATATGCATAATATATGCATAAGCACAGGTTTTGCATATATACACATTTTGTTTAATCCTTTTAACTTCTGCACGATAGTCTATCACACTTTCTCTAGGTCACACACCCAGAATTATGGATAGTTAGGCATAAGCTCTTTTGCAATCTCTAGACCAGTGATTTTTCAACCGGTGTGCTGTGAGAGGATGTTAGGTGTGCCATGAAAAATTTTAAAGATCATTAATTAAATTATTTTTGAAAGAAGTTCAAAGCACAGTAAATATATTCTTTTTTTTAACTCTTTTTAAAATCAGAATAATTTAAGTGTGCCCTGGAAGTTTAATCACAGGTTCAAATGTAGTGTGAAATACAAAATGTTGAGAAACACAGCTCTAGATGCTAAATTTACCCCATTGGAGGAAAACTTGGGTTTATAAGAGTTGCTGGATGTTAAGTTTTAGAGTGGTCATCTTGCGGGACAAATTTATAATGTGGAAAGCTGAAGAAAATGTAGATGAAAACTTGACATCTCTTTGAAACATTTTCTAAGTGGGTTAAACATACCACATTGGATCATTTCTGAGGTGTCTGGGATTCGTTACTCAATAAGGCAAACCAGTTCTTTTGTTTTGTTGTGGTTTTCTTCATGGAGAGGTCAAGTTTAAAAGCCCGCTTTTCACCATGCCAAGGCATGGTACAGTAAACATTTCATGGGATGAACATGGTAACTAACATCAAACAATTTTCTCTCTGTAAATTTTGTTGCTTAACCACTAAGTAGTTAAGTGCGCTTAGATTTTATACATGCCCTGTCAAAAGCGAATTAGCACACAAGCCTGCCCTCATAATAAATGTTCTTTTAAAGAAATTCTGTGTATCCTTTGTCCTTCAGGTTCAGCCCACATCAGCTGATGTTAACCTCATCCTATTGCTTTCAATTCGTAACTGTATCAGAGAACTGTCTGAGGTTTTTTGGTTTATGTCAGGTTACACGACATATAATCTATAATGTAAGTCCTCTTAGTTTTAAATTCTTATAACTGGCTATAAGAATTGCTGGTT